AAATAAAAATGATAGTGACAATTTTAATTTTAAATTTCATACATTAGTACACAAAAAGAAATAACAACAATGGCGGTACCGAAATACCTCGTGGGATTATTATTTTACCGGCTGACTTAATGCAACCTTGACATTCCTTGGTGATGTGTCACATCAAGCAACAAGAATATTAATTACGAATAATTAATAATAAACAAAAAAAAATTCTTCATTCAAATAAATCCCACGAGCTATTTACCTAAGAAAAACCGTGGCACTCACCCTGGTCGAAGACGTAAATCTACGTTGTCCGTCGATTGGCCGCACCAGGTCGTACTCGGCTTCCACGTCGAACGAGCTCGGACAATGACCTTCCTCGGCGAGGATACGTGCTGATTTTTCGTCACTTGCACACGTCAACTAGCAATCATCCAAATAAAACGTCGTAATATATCACGCTTCTATTAAATAAATAATTGGCGACAGCCAATTATCGTCGTAATGCCGTAATAAATTTTTGGCAAACACAATCGCAATTAAACACAATAATCAACATATAGCACACTACGTCGTGGCTAATTAAACGAAATACTCAAATTTCAGACGCAAGAAATTACAAAAGTATTCTTTGTGATAAATCTCAAAATCAGGCAGAAATAAAAAAAAATAACCAACAAATTCTTCAGAATAGAAAAAAACGTGTCTGCACGCGGCAAATCGAAAACGTGGAAGAAAGAAAAATTAAGCACATGTCGCATTCCTCGTCTCTCCCCTCTTTCCTGGGTCCGTCGTTAGCTTTGAACTCCAGAGATGGCGCCGCAAGTCCAATTTCCCAATATCGACGTTTTGAGTGATGTATTGGCTGGAGCATTGGCGCGCTCGACAGCCAGTTTTCCGCCTTCACGCATGCGTCGATTGCTCACTTCGAGTTCCTATAGGTCCGTCGTTCCAGCTCGTTCTCGAGACAGCCATCCGCCCGTCGTCGATGATCTTGTAGAGAATCCACGTCGGTAATCTTCGTTGGTCTCTCTTCGCGGGTTCGTGACCGGTCATAAGTACCATTCTTACAATTACAATTACTTAAAACTAACTTATTTGCTAAATTAAATTCGTAATCCCAATAAATTTTTGTTTCGCGCGCAATCGAGCTTCGGTCGCATTTTCTCGCGCTAGGGCGACTCGGTCGCGGCAAATCCAACCAATGGACAACAATTATCTCTAGCGCTCAATTTAAATTTTCTTTTAAAAATTTTTAAATTCAAAAAAATTAAAATTATCAACAATAAAAAAAAAAACGTCTTAACAGGTGGCGCTAAAAGCGGCCTGTTACAAAATTTAAAAATTTTTTTTGTCAGGTAACGGTGT